TTCGCTCCCCACTCCCATCACTTGTGTACAGAATACCTGGCCAGTGTTCTGTCACAAGCAACTTCCAGGCTGGTAACTATAATAAATACACAGAACCTGAATGAATGGATGAATGAATGTTTCTATGTATAAGGGTTAAGTAGTTAAACAACGTTGTTTGCTTCTTTTCTTTATTTTTTTATTATCATCTTTACAATAAATGTTGCTTTTTGCCTTATCCCCCTCATAAGATCCTGCTTGCTTCTATTTGGTATAACAATAGGACCCTGCTTGCAGGGCGGGTCAGCGCTTGAGTCCTGAGGCCAGAGGTGCAAGCCGTGTCATTTTGCAGGGTGGGTGCAGGTCAAGCCATGCACCCAGGTTAGACGGTCTGTGCAGTCTGGACGTGTCTGCACGGCTGTGACACATGGTTCACAATGCAGTGGGGACATGTCCATCTGGACCCCATTAGTGGGGTTTGGGCCCCTTAAGAGAAAACATTTTTCACCAAAAAATGTGGACTGAGGGCAACTGAAACATTCAGAGAATCTGTGCTGCTTTTCCCTGGTTGAATGAACGCGCATGCACACGCGCACACACACGCACACACAAACGCGCGCACACACACACATTTTGCTTCTAAATTCCCTCTCAAGTTTTACTTCAGTTTTATTCTAGTAATTTTAAATAGTTTTAACCACCCCCCACACTAAATGTAACCACCCTTTTTGTTCCATCCGCTCGTGACATGTGAACCCAGCTGGCCACACAGCGCTGGCCCAGCCACCTTGGCTGGCGGGGGAGAGCGGCTCCTTGTGGCAGTCAGTGGTTGTAGCACCTCTAGCCAGCGGGAGCAGGTTCGATCGCTGCTGCCCACGACCCAGCCAAAGGCCTGGCGCGGTATTAGCGAGGGTGCAAACGCTGGGGTCACAGGGACTGACAGGACGGCGGGAAAGCCCCAGGAGAAAATCTAAGGGGGCTTTGGAGCAGGCCTTCGATGCAGACAGCGCTCAGCCCCTTCCAACTCCCCGAGCCCGGGAGGGGGGGCTAACGCCTGAGCCCCCCCAGCCCCGAGCCCGGCTGCCCCAGGCGGGGGGGTCCAAGTACTGGAGCCCCTGCAGGGGCCTGTAACCTGAGGCCTATTGTCCAGGGCCGAAGCCAAACTCCAACACCTGATCGCAGGGCTGATGCCCCGGGGATTTGGCGCCAGACCTCAGCAAGTCTAAGGGCAGCCCTGGTGACCCTATGAAAACAGCCCCCCCACTTTGGGCTCCCGGCACTGAGAGCTGCTGGGTTAAACCCTGCCTGGGACCCCCTCTGCACTCCCGGGGCACCGTGTCCTGGCACATCCCCTGGGAGGCAGAGGGGCCGGACGGATCCGTGATCTGCACCAGATGGACAGCGCCCGACCTGCCCTGAGCAGCTGGGAACGGGGTCCCTGGCAGAGCGGGGCTGTTTCATCTCCGCCGGGCCAGGGAATTCAGCAGGGAGACGCAGGCCGAGCTCAAGAACCAAGAGAACTCTCGGTGCAAACAATCATCTGGTTCCAGGACAGGCCTAGGATGCCTCAGCCCCCCTGGAGACGGGGGAGCCTGGGCCCCTAAATCCCAACCCCTTTCCTAGGCTGCTTCCTCCATGATTCCAAACAGAAACTAAAACTCTCTTACAGCCCTGCCCCCCAGCCAGGGGCTGGTCTCCGCCCTCCTCCCTTTGTCTCTCCCTGGGGGGCTGAGCCTGGGTGTCTGGTTAATCCACATTTGGGAGAGTCAGTGAGAATCTCCCATCACAGCACAGGGGGACCCTGGGTCACAGAGCAGGCAGCCTCCCCCTGCGCCTCAGCGAGCACAGGTCTGTACAGTACAAGATGGGCGTGCGAGTGGGCTGCGACCCACAGCCAGGCGTGCGAGTGCGGGTCTGTACAGTACAAGATGGGTGTGTGAATGGGCTGCGACCCACAGCCAGCCGTGCGAGTGCGGGTCTGTACAGTACAAGATGGGCGTGCGAGTGGGCTGCGACCCACAGCCAGGCATGCGAGTGCGGGTCTGTACAGTACAAGATGGGCGTGCGAGTGGGCTGCGACCCACAACCAGCCGTGCGAGTGCGGGTCTGTGCAGTACAGGATAGGCGTGTGACCCACAGCCAGGTGTGTGAGCAGGTCGGTGCAGTACAGGATGGGCGTGCGAGTGGGCTGCGACCCACAGCTGGGCGTGCGAGAGTGGGTCTGTGCGGTGCAGGATGGGCGTGCGAGTGGGCTGCGACCCACAGCTGGGCGTGCGAGAGTGGGTCTGTGCGGTGCAGGATGGGTGCGTAAGCGAGGCTGAGACCCGCGGCCGGGAGGGAGACGAGAGGCCAGACCCCGGCAGGGCTGAGCTCATGGCTGACTCAGCCGGTGTTTCTCTGTGCAGCGCCAGTGAACAGCCGCCCGCTTGCCAGCGCCTGACTGAAGGGTAAACCCAGAACCTGCTTCCCGGCCTTCTCTGGGACCTGCCAGCGCTAGGCCGGGGGGCGGAGGGGGGAGGGGAGAACTCAGGGC